CCGCGGCCGCGGCGCTGGAGAAACAGCTCAAGGCCGACGTCGTCGCCCAGAACCTCGACGCGCGGCCCGGCGCCGCCGAGCTCCGGGCGCGGCGCGTGCTCCACGCCGACGACGAGCGCGCGCACCACGACGCCGGGACGGCGCACCCGGCGCGGGACGCGTCGGGCGTCGCGGGCGCGCTGCACGCGCGCCGTGCGTCGCTGGCCAAGACCATGACCAAGGACCAGCTCAACTACCTCCTCCGCGGCCGCCCGGCGCGCGCGGACCTCCTGGCGAAGAACGTGCTCGCCAAGGAGCCGGAGATCTGCTCGACGATCGAGCACAAGCGCCGGGGCCTCGACTTCCGGATACGCCGGTCGTCGCTCCACGCCAAGCTCGCGCGGCGCCCGGCGCCGCCGCCGGCCGCCGCGGCGCCGCCGCCGGCCGCCGCCGCGCCGCCGCGCCGCCGCGTGCCGCCGCTCACGGACCGCCGCCGCTACCGCGCGGCGCTCGAGGCGACCTACCGCCTCTACGCGTCGCCGGAGCAGCCCCTCGACCGCGCGGCGCGCGCCAAGCTCAAGGAGCTCATCCTCGAGGAGGACGAGCGCGTCTCCTCCGCCGTCGAAACCTACTGGCTCGACGGCGACGGCGGCGCGCTGCTCGACACGCTCTTCGTCCTCGCGACCTTCGAGTCGAGGCAGTCGTAGAGGGGACTAAGCGAGCGCTCCTCGACGCCGCTCTTCAAATAACCAGGCTACCACGCGGCCCGGGCCTTCTTCGCCGACGAGTCCACGGGCGTCAACGCCCAGGACACGTCCGGCGCGAACCAGCAGAGCAGGAGCTTCGCCGCGACGCCGCGGAGCGCCACGTCCTCGGGCGCCTTGAGCTCCGCCGTCGTGATCGTCGTCGAGGGCGCCGCGTTGCGCGCGTGCTGGTTCGCGAGGACGTGAGCGGCGGACGCGCCCGCGGAGACGACGGGAAAGTCCGCGTTGTGGGGAATCTTCGCCGGTTCCCGGCGGTTCGCGTCCACCAGAAGCAGCGCCGCGGCGCCCGAGCTCTTGGCGTCGGCGACGAGCGCGCGGAGCCGGGCCTCGTCGCCCGAGGTCTCGACGGCGGCGACGGCGAGCTTGTGGACGATCTTCCGCCGGTCCGCGAGCTCGTTCTCCTCCGCCGTGCGCGTGCGCCGGAGCTGCTTCTCCCGCTTCCTCTCGAGGTGGCGCGGCCGCCCGACGAGCGCGCCGCCCTCGATGGTCGCGCCGCCGCCGACCGCGGATCCGTCCGACAGCGTCCGCGGCTCGAGCGGCCACCTGGCCTCGAGCGCGCGGTCCGTCGCGCGCACGCGGAACGCGCCGCCGACGGCGTAGCGGCCGCCGCTGAGGTGGAGCACGCGCTCGCTCGCGACGTAGTCGTCGACGAGCAGGCCCCGCCTCGGCTGCGGCGCGTGGCTCCTCGGCCGGTTGTCGACGAGGACCGCGCGGCCCTTGAAGCCCTGCGCCGCGAGGTCCTTGCCCGAGCTCGGCTGGTCCGCGCGCACGGTCTTGAAGATGCGGTTCTCCGGGTCGAGGAGCCGCACGACGTTTCTGGCGTAGCCCGGCGACGCCGCCGTCGACACGTGCTGCTCGACGCCGGGGACGTAGCTCAGCGCTTTTACGAGCGCGCCCGCGAGGGGCCGCGCGGTGGTGATGAAGTGCAGGCCGTCGTCGTCGACGTGCTCGAGCGTCGTCGTCGTGCGCTTGAGGATCTGGTTCTTCTGGTCCTCGCGCCACTTGGACTTTTGCTGGGAGGAGGACACGAGCGTCTCATCCAAGTCCCAGACGATTTTCAGCGGCGACGCGACGTTGGCGGCCGTCGTGAGGCCGATGTAGGAGCCCGTTGCCAGGGTCGCTTTGCGCCACATCGCGTAGGGCACTCGAAAGGCGGGCAGCAGCACGCTTCCTTAGTCAGCAGGCGCGAGCTTGGCAAGGGGATATATCTAGATTTATATCCCCTTGAGCTTGGGCCTCTTCTGCCACAACTTTAGCGACGCACAGGATGATGCTGCCGCACGATTGCGTCTTTCCCGTCGGTTGGGCTGCCCCGCCGCTCTCGACGCAACCGGCGCCGCCGTCGGGCAGCCATGCCCGAGCTCTACGCCGACCACGAGGACCACGACCTGCTCGCGCGCGGCACGCCGAAGGAGGGCAAGAAGCGCCACAAGCACCGGTCCAAGAAGCGCGGCGTCCACCCGGCCCGGGACGGCGGCCGCGACCAGCCCCTGCGCCACGCCCACGACGACTGGATCAAGCGCCTGCGGCGCGCGTACCCCGGCCGCGGCGCGCGGACCTACGACGAGGCCTACGACGACGACTACGACGAGCCGGCCTACGACGCGCCCGCGCCGCCCGCCGCGCCCGAGGTCGGGCCCGAGGCGCCGCGGGACGAGTCCGCCGTCCTGGAGGCGCTGGCGTCGGTCCAGGCGCAGCTCGCGGGCCACGTGACGCGCCAGGAGCACCTGCAGGACCTGCTCCAGCAGACCATGGAGCGCCAGGCCGACGTCGCCAACGTGCTCCTCGACGCGAACCGCGCCGGCACCGCGGCCGCGGACCGCCTCGGCGACCACCTCCGCACCTTCCAGCAGGCCGCGCCGCCGCCGGCGGCGCCGGCGGCGCCGGTGAACTACACGAGCGCGCTGGGCAGCCCCCGGACGGGCCTGCAGACCTGGACGACGGAGGAGGTCGCGGAGGTGTTCCGGTTCCTGTGCTACCGCGACTGGGGCGCGGACCAGGCGGCCGAGGTCGCGCAGACCGTGCGGAACCAGGAGCTCAACGGGGCAGCTTTAGAACACTTCCACCTCGAGGACCTGGAGAAGATGGGCGCCGTCGCCGGCAGCATCGACGGGGGGCAGCAGTGCATCATCGCCAAGGTCGGCCCGCGGCTCGTGCTCCTGGCGCGCCTCAAGGCGTTCCGCGCGGCGCACGCGCACGAGCCCTTCTCCGTCGTGCGGCAGTGCTTCGACATGCCCAAGCACCTCGCCGGCGCCGAGCACCTGACGCGCCAACTGGCGGACGCGCTCCGCGTGCCCAACATCGCGAACGTTTCGGACACGAAGGACGAGAGCCTGAGGGCCGCGCTCGTGCACGCGCGCAAGCCGGACAAGTCGAAGATCACGCAGGTCGTCGTGCCCGTCTTCGCGACGATTTTGGTGAAGAAGCTCGTCGAGGACACGGACGGCATCGTCTCGCTCGTCGCGACGTTCATCCAACGACCGTTGCTCTACGACCTCAAGTCCATGGACCGCGAGTCGGGCAACGAGCCCAAGGTCTACTTCGACATGCGCGTCAACGAGGGCGAGCACTTCGATTGCTTCACCATGCGGAAGGTCGCGCACGTGCTCGAGGCGGCGCCGGGCGCCGCGGAGGTCAAGAAGGGCGCGGACGCGCCGCCGACGTTCCTCTCCGCGGCGACGTCGACCTTCGCGGCGTCGCTGCCCATGAAGCTCGATTCGGTCTACAACCAGCAGCCCTTCAACATCATGGCCTGCACGGTCATGATCGAGCTCACGAGCTTCGTGGGCATCAACGCGGAGGGCGCGAAATTCGAGATGCGGCCGTCTTTCATCGGCCACGCGTCCGATTTACGGAACCTCGTCTCCGTCCGCGACTTCGAGACCCAGTACAAGATGGACGAGATGCGCAAGTGGGAGCTCATCAACCCGAACCCGACGGTCGAGTACGAGTACGACGGCGGCGGCCAGAAGGAGCTCTACGTGCCCAAGGTGCGGCTGACCTACTACCTCTTCGAGGAGGCCATGCAGCCCTTCCTCGAGACGGTCATGCCCATCGTCTTCGCGTACTTTGCGAACTCGCTGAACGTGTTCCAGGTGCGGCGGAACCAGGCCGACTTCACGGACTATTTGGCCAACTCCATCGCCATCGGCCTGACGATCGTCTTCATCGTGCCCGAGATCAGCAAGTCGGACTCCTTCGACGAGAAGTTCCAATTGAACCACGTCTACGTGTTCTGGATCTTCCTGGGCATGATCGCGACGGCGCCGGCCTACTACTACAGCGGCGAGATGAAGACCGCGGCCGTCGCGTTCATGTGGGCGTCGTTGCTCATCCCCTTCTACAACATGGTCGTCTACCACTACATCAAGTTCAAGCTGAACCGGTCCTGGTACGACGCCGCGCCCCACATGACCTTCCTCGGCCGGCCGAAGACCAAGGGCAAGGCGGACAACAAGCGGTCGAGCAGCGGCAACTTCGACCCCGCGCTCTGCCACTTCGTCTCCAAGTCGACGGACGGGGACGACGTCCGCCTCCACCCGAACGTCATCGACTCGGCGTCGGCGCGGGCCCTCGAGCCCAACGGCCGGACCATGCCCGTACCCTGGCAGCTCGACAGCAAGAACAAGATCATCTACTCGGGCCTCCCGCGCCACTACTTCAACGACGTCGAGATCCAGAAGCAGATCGACGCCCACAAGCACAGCCGCTTCCACCAGGGCGAGCACCTGTAACTAGTCCCGGTTTAGAAGCCCGTCAGCGGCGACGTCTCCGACGCGCCGCCGACGGGGCCGCAGCAGCCGCCCTCGTCGCAGCACCCGCCGCAGTTGAAGAGGTCGCCGCAGCAGGCCTTGAAGAAGGCGCAGACGTAGGCCTGGGCGAAGGGCACGAAGGACAGCGTGTACCAGAGCAGCGCGAGGTACTGGACGAGGATCGCGGTCAGGAGGCACCAGAGCCGCGGCGTCTTCGGCAGCGAGTCGTCGAGCGCGAAGAAGAGCGTCGCCGCCAGCGCGAGCAGATAGACGGCGGAGGAGACGACGCGCGACCCCTCGGTCATCTTGTTGAACTGCGCCGTCGGCCCGGAGAGGAAGAACGAGCCGACGATGGCGACGAGGTTGCCGAACGTGTAGTAGACGCCGAAGGGCGTCGGGTTCCCCGCGAGCATGGCCGAGATCTTCGTGTTTGCGAGGAACATGAGGACGAGCCCCGTGAAGAAGCAGAGGCAAAAGCCGACGACGCGCGACTGGTAGCTTAGGGCCGGGCAGCACGCGTCGTACTGCTCGCTCATCTCCTCGGCGGCCGTCTTCTCGCGCGTGCCCAGGAGGCCCTCGGCCTGGAACTGGGCGTCCTTGGCCGCCGCCGACGCCGACGCGCTTAGCGAGTCGAGGTAGTCGCTCGCCTGCTCGCTCGTCGTCTTCTCCTTCGGCGAGAAATAGTCCATGGTCGCTCGCTACGGCGCGCCGGCGGCGCGCGCGAGGCGCCGGGCCGCGCCGCGGGGGCGACGCGCGCCGCCGGCGACGGGCCGGCGACGGGGCGATGCGCGCCCGCCGCGCCCTCCTCGTTGCGAAAATCCTTCAAGATCAGTGCAACTTGAAGCTGTAAAACCCGTCATCGTTGAAACATGAGGCAGCCCTAGAGCATGGTGGCCATGCGGAAGCGTACGTCCGTCGAGCTCTGCGACGTGGAGGCGCCCGCGGAGGACGCCGACGAGGAGTTCGGCGACGCCATCGCCCGGCCGTCCGACGAGTTCTTCGATGCCGTCGAACCGGAGACGGCGGCGCTCGTCGCCGCCGCGAAGCAGCACGCGCCGGCGCGGCGCGGCGCCTGGGGCCTCGTCGCCGGCGCCGCGCGGGACCTCGGCCGCCACGCGCGCAAGGGCCCGGCGGCCATCGCCGCGGAGTTCCTCGCGTCCGCCGAGGTCCGCGAGATCAACGACTTTTTGACGCGGACGTCCGCGGCGATGCGGCGCGACGCGTCGGACGCCAAGGCCGAGATGTTCGACGTCGCGCGCGCGGCGACGGCGGACGCGGTGCTCAAGAAGGTCGACGGCTGGCTCGCGCGCCAGCGCCAGTTCGCCGTCGAGGACCCGTCGATGCCGAGATGGGCGCGATCCGCGCTGCCGCCGGCCTTCGACGCCGTCGCGACGGAGGTCCGGCGCGTCGTCGAGTCCTGCGTCGAGGAGGAGCTGCGGCTCCGCGCGCGGCGCACGTCCGCGGCGGAGGCGCGCGCGGCGCCCGCGGCGAAGGGGTGGCTCGCGGCGTTCCGCCGCGGCCTCCTCTACGCGCTCCAGCCCTACGACCGCACGTCCTGGCGGCGCAACGCCGACCCGCGCTACTGGGCCATCAAGGCCTGCTGCGCCTGCCCCTACTTCGGCATCCAGACGCTCTCGTTCGCCGTCGTGCTGGCCGCGATCGACCGCGGCGACACATACCAGCTCGTCGACTTCCTGCTGAGCTTCAAGCAGAACATGTTCTGGTTCAACGGCCTCTTCGCGCTCGTCGCGGCGTCGGCGAGCCTCCACTACTGCGTCGCCGTGGAGCTCAGCGCGGACGCGGACCACTGCGGCCGCGCGGCGGCCAAGGACCTGAGCGTGGTGCTCCTGGGCCACGCCGTCGGCGGCCTCTACGTCTTCTCCTGGGTCGGCCAGCTCGTCTTGGGCTGGGTCGCGCTCTTCCTCCTGCCCGGCGCCGTGTCGAAAGGCGGCGCCGTGCGCACGGGCCACCGCCTCGTCGGCGAGCGCGTGCTCTGGGAGACGGGCGATGCGCCGCCGCGGGCGCCGCACCGCGTGTCCGTCGTCGTCCACTACGACCGGCGCACGGACGCCCACGAGGTCCGCGACGCGGAGGGCCGCGGCGAGAGCTACCGCGTCACGCTCCACGCGCGGCGCTACTTCGTGCTCGGCCGCGCGCTGCCCATGCGCTACCTCTTCGCCTGGGACGTCCTCTCCTTCGGGCTGACGTCCGGCGCGGCCTTTTCCTTCGTCTTCGCCGCCTGGCGGCGCCACGGCGTCGTCTACGCGTGGCAGGTCCGCGCGGCGCTCAAGGGCGCGCGCGTGGGCTACTCCCTCGCCGCGTTCCCCTTCTTCATGATCGGGCTGCCCATCTACAAGGAGCTCTTCGCGACGGCGAAGCAGACGGGCTACACGCGCGACGGCGTCTGCGTCCCGGCGAAGAGCGGCGCGGACTACGAGTGGGTCAGCCCCGCGGGCTAAGTATCCTTCTAAAGTATCCTTAGGTCCCAAAGTACTACGTAGTATCCTTAGGTCCCCATGGCTTCCCGCAGCTGCGCGGCGGTCGGCTCCGCGCGGCC